CTGCCTGGGGCTGGGGCTTGGTGCTGGTCCCAGTGCAAGTGTGGGCTGGGGATTGGGGTGGGGGAGTGGATCTGCAGATCTGGGAGCCCTTAAGATGGGTGTGATAAAGTCCTGGGGTGAGAGCAGGGCACCCCACGGGCGAGGCGTGGGTCTCCTCCGGCTGCCGCGTGGCGGAGGGTCGGGTCGGGGTTTTGCCATCTGCCGTCGCTCTGCGCTGGCACGACACTGCTGCTGAGTTATGCAACCAGCCCGTGCCCTCCGGGGAAAATTCATCCTGCGCAGATCCGCAGAACGGCACACGCAGGGATAACAAACACGGAGGGGACAGTCCTACCCCGCGGCTGTTTGCTGAACACCCAGCTGCCTTCTGCACCCCCCCCTCCTGCCCCATGCGTGCTGGGAGCCAGCCGGGAGCGCGCGGCGATGGGCTGTGGGTGACGATGGGCTGTCGGTGACGCAGAGATGGATGCTCTTACATAACGCAGCCCGGCACGGCCGCTTGGCCCAGATAAGAGCCCGGCGCTGCCATATGTTCCCGGCAAACGCCGAGCGCGGCGCTGTCGGGAGCGTTGCTCTGGCGTGTTCGTGGGGCAGCGGAGCGCCCGGTGCGCTCTCCTCCTGTAGGGTTTTTCTAATGCACGTGGTGTATCTGTGCGTTCGCATCAGCCTGCCTCGGGCTGTTATTAAATGCAAATCTTAAATTGGAAACCTGCTTGAGAAGCTTAAAATGGGATTTAGAGCAGGGCCCGAATTCTGCTCTCAGGTAACTTAAGTTGGCTGAGAAACTCAAGTAACCTCTCCCAACTTAACTGTGGCACTGGCACGTAGCTGGTAGTGCTGCTGGGTCATGCAGTGAGTTCATCCTCCCCAGGACAGCTCAGCCCCAGTTCGTGTCGTAACCTGGAAAGCTGTAACCCTCCTTGACCCAGGCAATCAGATTTTTGCTTATTCTTCAGCATGCCACTGATCTCTTCTGGTTTCCCTTCATGTCACAGCAGCTTTGCCTTTAGTTCTGCTATGGATGCTGCGTGCACCTGCCAGGCGGGACGCTTCACGCTCTGCTGCCCATCCAAAATGCTGATATTAATGTCAGTTCTCAGCCAGGAAGGTGTTTCTGGTCTGGTTTCTGCTGGACAACAGCATGTCTGGGGTGGAGAAGAGCCTGCTTAGCTCCTTGCTCCCCTCACCATGGCAGGTCCAGGTGGGCAGCATTTCCTTGGGCAAACTGAGGGTCTTCTCTTATTTGAATGCTGTCCTTCCCCACATTCTGCAGGGGAGTTTATCTCAAGCCAGAGATCGTTGTTCCCAAAAGCATGCCTTGTGGCATGCCTCGTGGGCAAAGAGGACAAAAGTCTTTCTAGTACAATGAGGAAGTGGCTGGATTGTGCTGGGTACCTGCTGATGGCCTCTGGATTGCCGTGTGATAGCCCAGCACCCTGCCTGCACCCCACACCCAGGAGTATTTCACCCCTCCTCCTCGGTACTGGGAGCTCGGGGCCATTCTCCTCCTTTCGTGCAACATGAGCATCTTTTTCTTTGCATGTCTTAGCTGCGCTGTGACCCTGGGCAGACGAGGTGCCTCCTGTGGACCCTGCTCCAGTGGGACCCTCTAAGGTCGTGGGTTTGTGCAGTGTGGACTGAGCAACCCTTGGACAAGGTGCTGAGATACAGGGAGAGCATGTGGCACCAGTGGTCTTGGCCGCAGAAACAGGGGAGCAAGTGGCAGCATCACCCACCACCTACCTACAGTTACACATTTAAGAAACTTTGTAGTTTTAATTCACAGAGGACATCAAACTGCAGTGGTTGTGCTCGGTGTAGAAGGCAGCTTGTTCCAGTAGAGCATATTCCATGATACTTTCACTGTGGATAAAACAGTAGGTCTGATTTTGGGGTGGATGCTTAAGGTGAGCAGCAGGAGTCTGTGCATGCGGTGTGGTGCAGACCTCGGCATCTGGGAGGCTGCCTTCA